TTTTGAAAGTATAACTCATCGTCCCCTACATGATAGTTTTGTTTCGAGGCAAAATAGATCATTTAAAGAAGCAATGGATGGAAGGCCATTTTGTGCTCTTTCCGAAGGAATTTATTCTTCTACCTAATAAAAATGCTGTGAAAGCACGGTGTTTAGATACCTAAATCTATAATAAGTAATAATGTGAACACGAAAGGAAAACTATCCAAGTTTGGCTTCGAGGAGAAAAATTGTTTCAGCTATATATCCAAGTAAAAATCAGAATATTTCGAATATTGCAGAGGTAGGATACTTAACGTTAAAAAGAAAAACCGCAGTAGACAAAAATGGTAATCCAAATTCCTTATATAATCAGGAACATATTTCGTACCTAATTTCCAAATATGAAATATCTTATATTTACTCACATTAATCTATGCCATCTACAATCTACGGGCCACAGTGCCATCTACAATTGCAACAAGACAGAACAAGCAGCCACACGTCAAAATCCACTTTTAATTTTCTGAAAGAAATGGAACAAGAAACGCGTGTCAATATCATACCTTTCACTCATATTTCTACTAAATTACCTGATAATTATTTTATGGATTTTTACGCTTTTGGACTTTAAAAAACTGGGTCGTCCAAAGTTCGACCTACAACACTCCTTGGACTTTAGAAAGCTGTTAAAGGGGAATGGTAAAGAATACCTCTTCGGATACTACAAAAAGCTTTATTGTCTTGAAAAATACAGCGTAGAAAGATAATAAAGAATACAGGTTATCAAATATAACATTTAGAACACAAAATGTTAGGTAAAGTATTTCTGTAAATACAATGTAATTCTGTAAATTAGATTAACTTCAAAAGAAGTTGTTTTATTCTCACGTTGGCAGAATCCTACTTTTCGTAATTCTTCAATTTGTGTGATCATCAGATCCATTCGTTAAAAATGCGCAGTTTAATTATTTATTTTGGTTGCAATGTCATGAACAAGACACCAGATATTAATTCAGATGTCAAACAACAAAAATCAGCGTTACATCATACGTATATCATCAAACGTATATACATATATATATATACTCATTTACCCGGCTCAACGATCTCAGGTTCTTTACTATTATATGTTTGTAAATTGTGCATTTTTGCTTTAAAAATGTTTGAAATATGTTGTTCATAATTTCCGGTTAATGTTTTGATGCCTTTAAGAAATTTGCAAGCAATATTCGTAGAATTATCAACAATTTGAAAGCTGTTTAAGTGCGATTAAGCCTAATGTTTAAATCACATGGTGGACATGTTTATTTACATTTAAAACAGCAGAATAGTGGATTTGTTGCCAATTTAGAAAGGCTAAGCTCCGCAAAAAACAAAGATAACGCCGTCATTCATTATTGCGAATTAAATCGTGATTATTCCTTTTCGGAATTTTTTCGAGAAAATAAGTGTTTAAGATTTTACTTCGTAATTTTTAATATAGATATTTTGGGATTTTATGTATTTTTGCCTTGTCGCGAAGTGAGAACTGCATTAATTGAATGAGAAATACTGAATCGTGTGTGAAAAACTATTTCTTTCTTGTTTTGTTTGCTTAATTTCTTTTCTACATCGTTCTAGATTTATTATATTATTTGAATATAACATGTGGCAACGATTAGATAATTCTTCGATGATATAAATTTTGTGCATTCTGAGTTATAATATGAACGAAATATAAAGCTGGTAAGTGAACCCAAGCGCCAGAGTGTCGCGTACTTTAAAGGACTTTCAAGGGCCATTAATGAAAAAATTAAGGACCTATGAGCAAATGGAAACTGAATAAATTCAATTAAAAATATTATTCTATGCCTGAATTTCACTTTTGTAATACCATCCTAAAAATAAAATAGATCCCTAAGTAGTATGCATTATTACTAAACATTAATTAGTTAACATAATTATTAATAAGTTGGAGAATAAAATAAACTTGATGCAGTTTTCAAGAAGCTAGAGCAGAGGTTCTCAACCGGTGGTTCGCGTACCACTGGTGGTACGCAAGAAAAAAATAGGTACTACACAAAAAAGCAAAGTATTTTTAACTATTTATTTCAAAAATTAAACCCCCAACATCCTGATTGAGTTTTTTCTCTAACACTTGTAAATTTATGCGATCTGAGCTTTGTTCAAGAGTGGTGCTGATAGTAGTACTTTGTAGTGGTGATACTAAAGGCTTTCATAGTCCAAATGGTTGAGAACCGCTGGTCTAAAGGTTTAGTAAATAGCAGGTAGATTTTATGTCAAACAGGAAAGGTTAAAATGAGAAGTAAGATCATAATCAGCATGATTCATAAAAAAAAAAAGACTGAATGTTATCATCGCTGCGGCTTGTCTAGAGAGAGACCTGCTGATTAGAACAAATTTGAAAGGCAAGAAGGTTAAGCAAGTGTTGAAAGTTAGTCAGGCTCTGTTTGATGCAATTAATGTAATAGCTTTGTGTAGAGTTCTAGGGTTGTAACCCAGTTAATATACTTTCAGGTTCCAATAAGCCATTAAAGCACCATTAAAGCATTTCAAGTGCCTCTAGATGCACAGAAAATGTTTTACTTGAATTTCTACATCTTTGTGTTTTATCTTGTGACCACAGTGAGTATTAATGAAAGGCAATAACTTGTTTTAATATGTAGAGATAACTTTTAAGGGTAAGCAGTTAGTTATAAATAATTAAATTAGGTAAATAGATAACCTTAGTCATTATGGATTTACATGGCCACTATTAAATTTATTTTTTTAACAATATTTGTTAAAAAAGCCATATTAAAATCAAAATCTAATAAAATTTCACAGTTTAAAATACATGTAATTTATGACACTGATTTTTAAACGATATTAGAATAATTACACATTAAAGCTAAAAAACATTTGTTTTGTAACAACAACACTCAACAAAATATTTATCCGTGATTTTAATTTGAAGCCTTCCTAAACATTTTGGCTAGTTTACATCAATTTCCTGAATTCAAAATTAACTCAAAATGTAACTGTTAATAAAATTAACATAATCCTTATAAGGCACTATGCTGTCGAATTTAGGATCCACAGAGATTGCATCAGATGGGAAAATGCCTAGTGCCAGCTCTGTGTATGATGCATTAAGACATATTAGATGGATCTTTTAAATTTAAGTTTTTAATAAATATCCCTTTCTATAATGCCTGTCCAAGTGAAATTAAATTTTAATTTAATCCAATAAGTTTCATTGAAATGCAAGAAAAATGCGTATAATTTTAATATTCCGTACAAGGAAGTCATGTGGTGTACACATCATTTTTCAATGCAGACATATTTGATGCAAAACTAATATTGCATCTACTGTAGCGTTTTTCACCTCATTTTAAAAATATATTTTAAATATTATCTCTTGCAATCGCTGGAAGTGTAAAATAACTCTTAAAAAGTGTCTAGTATGCATTTTTTTTTAGGTTAAAGATGACTTTGGCAGAGCATTTAAAAGTTTGAGATCACAACACTACGCTACGCTAGAAGAGTATTAATCATTAACGGGGTCTGGCAAATTTTTACCATTCCAACAGGCAATATGCAAAATCAAGACGCAAGAATATGTAAGATATTTATAGTATCTAGGTAACAAGGAAGCTTTTTAATTCATCTTTCAAATTTTAACGAATTTAAGATTTGAGCCAAATTTCTTAATAAATTTCATTCTTAGTGATGTCATTAATTGGTATAATCGATAATATAGCTGGTTTCTCTACATTTGCACCATTATTTTAATTAATGAAAATATATCTAAATCTCCTTATTACATACTTCGGAGCAGAATTATTGTTGGGCTTAATTCAGTGTTTCTCAACCTTTTAGTATTCACGGTCCAATTTTCAATCATAATTTTCATCGCGCCCCCCCTCGCCAACGCATACAATAAAATGTATACAATAATAATATATTTTGAGTATTTTGACGCTAAACCTACACTACAAACTTAATTTTAAACTTTACAAATTACCAAGAATACGGAAATTTATTGACATTTTGCAACACCGATTCTCAGCATTGAAAAAACAAGAATCCTATGCCTTTTTATTGCTCTTGCGTCCCGCCATGTCGGGCATTCTCACGGTTTCGTGAGAAGTTTCGATTTGTCTGATCAGCTTAAAAGTTAAGTTAGGAGCATGCGCAAATGTGAACAAATGTTTTCTCATAGGGAGAAGGAGAAAGTTCTATGACGCCAATTTCAATTCCAGACAATCTCATTCGAGTCGATCCTTCTATCGCTATTGAATCTATTCTGAATGTGTATGTTATATATATTTTCGTGTAATTGCAATTCACCGTATTAAATATTCACGGCAGCAGACTTATGCAGAATCATGGATAAATTTTTAAGCGGGTATTAGACGATAGACAAGCATCAACAAGTACACTGACCAGCGTGGTTTCGAAAATAAAATCAAGAAAATATTCTCAAGAATACTTAAATTTTGGGTTCACTAGTACTGAAGTAAATGAAGATACTAGTACTGAAGTAAATGAAGTTCACTAGTACTGTCTAGGTTCACTAGTACTGAAGTAAATGAAGGCCCCTGTGTATCATTTGCTCAAAAATGTTGGCGGCAGGCATGAAACCTAATAAACTTAAACGACATTTGGAAACGCTTCATAGTGAGTACGTAAACAAACCCAGAGAATTCTTCGAATTAAAATTAAAATCATATGAAAAGCAAAAATCATTGTTTAAAAAACTTTGTCTGTGAATGAAAAAAGCTTTAATTGCCTCTTACAAAGTTTCATATAAAATAGCCAGATGTAAAAAGCCTCACACCATTGGATGAAGAGCTTATTTTGCCAGCCGCAATTGTGATTGTAGAAATTATGTTTAGAGATAATTTTGCAAAACAATTGCAGTCTATACCTCTTTCAAATGATACTGTTGCCCGTCGAATTGCTGATATAGCTGAAGATGTAGAGTGTCAGCTTTTGTCGAAGTTACGTGACAAATTGTTTTCAATACCAACTCGATGAAGGCAACAGATAGTAATAAAGATGCTCATTTCATTGCCTATGTTAGATTTTGTGATGATTTGTCAGCAGTAGTAGAAGAATTACTTTTCTGCAAACCAATAGAACTCAAAGCAACAGCACTCGCATTATTTGCTATCTTAAATGATTTTATGAACGAGGCAAACATAGAATGGAAAAATTGCGTCGGAATATGCACCGATGGTGCTCGTTCTATGTCCGGAAGATTCCAAAATATTCACGCTCTTGTGAAACAAAAATCGCCACAGTGTGCCTGGACACATTGCATGATCCACAGAGAAGCTTTGTCTTCCAAAGAAATGAGTCCTGGTTTGAATATTGTGTTAACTACGGTTGTAACCGTAGTAAATTATATAAAAATGAGACCCTTGAAATCAAGAATCTTTTCCCCACTTTTTAAAGACATGGGTGCAGTACATTCAGCGTTACTATTTTATTGCAAGGCAAGATGGTTATCACGAGGGAAATTTTTGCAATGTGTTTATGAATTAAGAGAAGAAATCGCCGTTTTCCTAAAAGAGGAAAACAGACCGGAAGCAGAGAATTTTCGCGATAGTTTATTTGTGATGAAATTGAGCTACATGGTCGACATATTCGAGAAATTAAATAACTTGAATATTCAACTGCAAGAATCAAATACACATATATTGGATACGAGTGATAAAGTTAATGCTTTTTGTAGGAATTTGGAATTGTGGAGCAGAAATTTAAAGCAAGAAAAACTTAACAATTTTTGCAAATTTGAATGATTGTATTAAAACTTACAAGGCTGAAGAACAACATGTAAAAGTTGTTTTCGTAACCATTGAAAATCATTTAGCAATGCTAGCAAAGAATTTTAAAAAGTACTTTCTTGCTGACGACAAATTGATATCAAGTTACAAGTGGGTGAGGGATACATTTCAAAATACTCCCGAAGGACTCTCAATTGAAGAGGAAGAAACCTTCATAGACTTCACGGCAAGCCCGCGAAACCAAAAGACAATTTAGTAATAAATCACTCTTTGAATTTTGGGCAGGAGTGGATGATGAGTTTTCTGCACTAAAAACAAGGGCATTTCGCATTCTACTACCATTTTAAAAATCTTACCTGTTGTGAAACTGGGTTTTATGCGGTGGCTGCTTTGAACACAAAATATAGATCTCAGCTAAATATAGAAAAAGAACTGAGAGAGTCTATTTCTAATATTAAACCCTCCTTCAAAAACCTTTGCTCTGCAAGACAGGCCCAAGAAGTCACTAATAATTATTATTTTTTTTTAATTTAGTAAGTTTTTTAAAATTTAATAAGTTAATTATTAAATATGTCGAAATGTATTTTGTTTTGTATGTGTGTGTGTGTTCTTTCCTTTCAGTCACTTAATCAATTTTTTTAAATAACATTTTCTCTTGGATATGCTTGCGCCCCCCATTAGTGTGCTCGCGCCTCCCTAGGGGGGTGCACGCCACAGGTTGAGAATCACTGGCTTAATTTAATAGAAAGTATTTTGATTCTTTATTGAAATGCTAAAAAATCCCTTCAATTTCATTTAGTAATTCAAATTTCATTTAGTAAGGTATTTCGTCAGTATATGTAAAAAATTATCTCTCGGCATTTAATTTTCATATTATTTCCACTTTATGATTTTGAAATTAGAGAAAAAAAGATTACGATGTCATCCACTAGATTATTCTCTTAAAATATTTAATTTTTAAATAATGCGTGTTATTCGTTCAATAAAGTTTATTGTAGCGTGTCGTTCTAAATATTCTTTTATTTGATTTTTTTTTTTACTTCAGAAAATTGAAATATTTTAAACATGTATCAATTAAATAGTGTAAAAGAGAGTCTTCACAACCAGAAGGAGAAAAAAGAATGACATGCATAATGAAAATGCATAAACATGCCTATGTATTTTGAAATAGCGAAAATGGCAGAAAAAATTATAAATTAATTAGAAACTGCAAAATATTTATGAGGTGAAAATGACTGTGTCCGTCTGGCATAGATTTTGCGTTTGATTATATTAAGAGCTTTACGCTTTTGATATTTAATATCTTAATGAAACTGTAAAATGTAAACTGCTATTTGAAATAATAATGACGCCCAAATTTAATTATTAAAATCTAAATTTTGAATTTTTTAATGTGCCCTGTTTTGAAAGCCAAATGTTCCAGATTGCTTTGTTTGGTTACTAATTTATTGCTATGTAAAGATTCCAAGCTCAGAAAGCAATAAAATGACATAAATTATTTTTTTCATGGGCAGATACCTTATATTAGACTTCACTGTTCCGTTCACTTATAAAATTTTGAGGTAAAGCAAAATGAGTATAAGACTTTTGATTCTCTCCATTATGGCATTCTAGTTAAAAACTAAACTCAGTTTAGGCAGACAGCGCTAATATACTTTACTTAAATTAAATAGCCTGATTCAAATAAACGCTTCATTAGAAGATAAGTAGAATTTGGAATTTAATTTCAAAACAGCATCTACATGTTGCAAAAATATTTTCTAAGGAATTTTATTCTTTACAGCGTGCCTTCCTTGTGTAATTTTAAACATTTCCGGCTGGCAATCGGAACACTCAAATTTGAGCCGAGGCGAGAGCATCACTGATCTTTCATGTTTCCAGCTCCGAAATAAAATTATACGAGTAGCTCATAAACAAAAATGAGGTGAAATGGTGTTTGAAACTTCGAACTACTGCGAAAAGATCCAAGTGGTCTTCCAAGATAAACGTTTAAGTCTTAAAAATAGTAAATTTGTTAAAATTTAGGATAATAAAAACCTGTAAACTTATACCTGTTTTCTGTTTTTCCCGTGCATAAAATCAGTCAGAAGCTTAGAAGATGAAGGATCAACTTATTGAGCGAGAACACAAGGTCGAAAAGCATAAGCTATTTGATAGGAGAAAGAAAAATATGAAAGGTTTCAGATTTTAAATTACATCCAAAGGGGCGTTTTTGTAACTTTTTCTGTGTTACATTTATTTATTAAATATCATGTTCTTTGCACTGAAACCATAAAATTCAGTTCAATAGCAATGTCGCAAAATAATTTTAAAATGAGCATATCTTTAGAATTTGCGATACATAGTTCCGCGCGCTGGAGATAAAAATGTTCCCCCCCCCGTAGGAGTGTTGCCATTGCTCGCTTTGAAATCCTTGAGTTTGTTAATCAAAAATTCGTGAAAGTTTTACAAAATATGAAATTGATTATAAAACAATTTACAAATTTCAATTTGGTCTTCCACATGGCCATATTCGTAGGAGGATTACGTCATTCAAAATCCGATGGCTCTCTGTACCGTTGTTTTATCACAATGCGAGAATATACATACAATTATACAGATTTTTCATTATTTAATTTCTTCAAATATAATGCAGGACTCTAAGATTTGGTGGCAACAGTTTGAAAAGTGAAACGGACATTTAAAGTAATTCAACGCAAAATCGCAAAAGGAAAACAATAGTCCTTCAGGAAAAAAGCCCCTTTGGACTAACAAGTACCACTATCCATTGAAGGTGAAAAGTGGAACGGACATTTATAGTGATTCAACGAAAAATCGCAAAAGGAAAACAATAGTCCTTCAGGGACAAAGCCCCTTTGGACTAACAAGTACCACTATCCACTGAAGGAAATACAGATTTCACTTTATGTTGACTTACATTCCTAGATAGGACGCAACTGAAAAACGCTGATGGATACGGAACGCTTCAATGCATTTAACAAAAATTTAACTGTTTCTCTGTGCAAAAATTTTGTTGTGGAAATTGAAAGTTTAAAAATATATAATACTTATAACAGAATATCGTTACTCTATATGAAGCTCTACCACGTACATTTGACAGCCTGAACAATAAATTCAACAACCTATAAATTTCCTTTTTAATTCCTTGAAACTGTTTCTTCATTTTAAACGGGATTCATAACACAAATACTCCATAGATTCAAGTTCGTAAGCCTGGGTAGTTTCACTAAATGTCGTTTCTCATAGTGATTTTAAAACTTTTGCACAATCTTTTCTGTGTTATGACATATAGAATTTTCCTACTGAAAGATGACACTTCCACCACAAAGTGTAACTGTTATACAGCTGTATACGCGGTCAGCCTGATATTCAGATAACTGTGAATTGTCAGCATTTGCTTCGCAAAGCTCATGGATGTATGTTTTTATGATATGCCATGGTTCCAGAAAGTATTGACTTGTCGAAAACACTTTTTTCACCTTTCGGCCCTTTGTGCATTTGTGGAATAAGGAATATTTTGACGCCTAGGTAAAAATAATCACTTAAAATACTGCTATACCACATTGTTTAGCAAGGAACTTTGTTCATCTGCTCAGGCAACTTTCTCCAAGTGATCGATGTCCCAGTTTCGATGACATATGATTTACTGAAAGTGTTTACAAGCATCAAGAACTGTATAAATTATATGGTAGTGAAATGAGTTCGGCAAACCGTTTGTTCGGTTCATAGCAACAACTAAAATTGCGAGTCGTGTGCCTCAGATTAATTCTTAGTATGCGGAAAAAAAATTAAAAACAGCTTCATAACCGCTAATATAAACCAAATGTGACAAGTCCTTGCTTGAAAGCTTAAAATTCTGTTTTTTTTTTTTTTTTAAACATATCTGATAGTTACTGGAATGCGTAAAGTGCATAGTAACCCCGACACAACACCACCATCGTCAAAGTTGCTGTTTTAGATTATACCAACATATTTTACAATAAATATCTGACTTATTAAAATAAGTTCAATCCTTTGCGTTTTACCCTTTTGAGATGAAACGAAATGCTGCCTGAAAGAATCTGATCCAGATTAACAAATAGTATATATACTATTGGAGACAAGTATTTTTCTATTAGGTGAAAACACACAAAGGTGCAAAGCACAAAAATAGTTCTAACGGTTGAAATATTAACATTGCTTAGCATTTGGGTTTCATATTATTACACGGTGAAAAGCTAAATGAATGAATTTTAAATACTTGGTTTGTTACGTAAGATAAGTTTTAAAATCTATTAATATATAAGAAAATTCAAACTTAGTACAGAGATATCTATCACCTCTCTCGCAAGCCACAACATTGATGATTCGGTGTGATAACCCTGAACCCTGTAGCGATGCTGTAGAGAGAAAAGCATCCACCACAAGAAAAGCTTACATAAAATTAAATTTAGAGAACGGAATAAATATGAATTAAGGCGTATTTTCTCCACCTTGACAGGCAGCGTTGCAAATGGTCTCCATATATGCAACAAATTCAACATGGAGGTACTCTGGAAAATGGTATACGTGTTAGGAAGACGGTCACCTTCTTGTTTAATAAACGCATCTTTATTTTACTATACCATTAGCCAATTTGCTTACCAACAACACATAATTATTTGCCTTATCAGCGAAGACGGACACCTTAAGTAATAATGAAAAATATAAACATACTGATCATTTATGAATTCTGTATGTATGGCTCACCAGATATTTCTGCATTTCAGGATAATACAATTTGATATTGGTAGCACAGTTCAGTTATTACGAATTTTAAAATGTTTTACGGACTAATGAACATAGCTATACTTTAATATGTTGTTAATGGGATAGCACTATCGTTATTTCATTTTATTATAGCATCGAAGCTATAGCACATAAAATATAACTCCATTAAAATTCCTAAAACTGGCACGATAGCTGAATTAAACCTATGTAAATCAAAATTTATTTACTTAATATCCTATCGCGAATATAATCTGTTCCCTCATATA